AAGAAGGAAACAAACACCCTTGTATTTGCTGCCCAACTAAAGAAATAGAACATGACCTGTAATTTGGAAGCTCCGTGTGCCCCATTCTGGTTGTGTTCCTGACCTTCTCCACTAGCAGTACTCTCTCACTTAATTTTAGGCTAATTGTTCTCTTGCTGTTCTATATTAATTTACTGTGTCTCTGTGTACCCCTAAATGATATTTTGTAGCATAACAATATATTGTCTTAGTTTTGTGTGTGTCTAAACTTTTATATATGTTACTGTATTCAGCATTTTTTTAACCATTCAAATTTATTTTTATTGTGGTAAAATATATATAACATAAAATTTACCTTTTGCATCATCAGAATTATGCTTTTTTAAATAGTGAAAAGATACTTATTTAGAATTAGCTGGATTCAGTTTAAATGATCCCAATGTTATTGGCAACATCCAAAGCATCATAGTCAGGAGCCAGTCGAACATATGCCTTCTTCTCTCCATCAGGCCTACTCAGGGCGCTGACCTTGGCCACATCAATGTCCAGGCTTCTTCATAGGCTGTTTGATCTGGTGCTTGTTGGCTTTGACATCCACAGTGGATGTTGTCTTCTGTCTTCTTCATGGCAGACTCAGTGGTCAGGGGGAGCTTGATGATGGCATAGTGGCCAAGCTTGTTTCTCCTAGGGTCGCTTTTCCAAGGATATTTGGGCTGCCTCGGGAGCCACAGTGTCTTGGGCTGCCAGAAGGCGAATGACATGTGGATCATCTCTTTTTGGTGGCTGTGGATGGCTTTCAGCACTGAATTCTTGGCCCTCAAATCCTTGGCTTTGGCTTCAGCTGTGGGGAGAGCAGGAGCTTCCTCTTCATCTTTGGTGCCATCATGTGAAAAGGCAGCATTATGTTTTTTGAGACTCATTTGTGGTGGTGTTTGTAACTATTTTTATCACTTTGTGGTATTCCATTTTCCTTAAAGATTAAGGATCATTCAAGCTTTCTAGTCAGTTTTGATCATTTTACTTTTTCTAGTGGCTTGGCACAAAGTTCATTATGTCTGTTTTCACCTCTGTTATGTCAGTAGTTATGTGTTCTTTCTAGTTGCTAATAACACTTGTTTGTGCCCATTCCTTTTTTTTTGTTGTTTGTTTGTGTTTTTTTTGAGACAGAGTCTCACTCTCTTGCCTGGACTAGAGTGCCGTGGCATCAGCCTAGCTCACAGCAACCTCAAACTCCTGGGCTCAAGCGATCCTCCTGCCTCAGCTTCCCGGGTAGCTGGGACTACAGGCACTCGCCACCGTGCCCGGCTAATTTTTTCTATTTTTAGTTGTTTGGCTTATTTCTTTCTATTTATAGTAGAGACGGGGTCTCGCTCTTGCTCAGGCTGGTCTCGAACTCTTGAGCTCAAATGATCCGCCCACCTCGGCATCCCAGAGTACTAGGATTACAGGCCTGAGCCACCGTGCCCGGCCTCACTCCTTTTTTTATGTTGATCACATTAGAGGTTTGTAGGGGTTTTTTAGTTGTTGTTGTGTGTGTGTGTATGTGTGTGTGTCTGTGTTTGTTTTTGAGACAGAGTCTCACACTGTTGCCCGGGCTAGAGTGTAGTGGCGTCATCACAGCTCACTGCAGCCTCGTGCTCCTGGGCTCAAGCAATCCTCCTGCCTCAGCCTCCCAGAGTGGTAGGATTACACGTGTGAGCCATCCCACCTGGCCGTTTTTTAGTATTTTCAAAGAACCATCTTGCAGCTTTGATGACCCTCTCTATTGTATGTTTAGGTGCTTTTTCATTAATTTCTGCCCTTATTTTATATTTTCTTCTTGTCCCACTTCTCAGTTTCATTTCTTTCCCTTCCTTGTCTTCTTTTCAATTAATCAAGTTATATCTCCTGTATACACACACACCCCTCCTTCATTTTTTTCCTTCTATAAATTAGGAAGTTTTATGATCTGTTTCTGTTCTTAGTGCATAGATTACTGTAAGGATAAAGAAAGGTGAGGTGTCTTTCACCTTAGAATGTCTCCTGCCATCTTCTTCCCACCCCTACTGCCTGCCCTGGGCCATGTTCCCACTACCTCCTCCCTGGACTGTTGAATCAGATGCCTCCTCCCCCCACTCCATCCCTCACATGGCCCCCAGTCATCTTTCCCAACGCACAGATAAGTTGAGGTTGCCCACACTTATCCTTGCTGGCTCTCCAGATTCTGCCAGAGAAAGCCCGGATTCCTTGGCACGGCATTTAGGACCCCAACATACTTTTCTTACCTTCTCCAGCTCCCCAATCACACTCTATAAAGTATATTACCATACTTGAAGTTTCCAGAACTGATCCTATACTTTTCCATCACATTTATTTATACATAATATCCTCCCCCGTCACCTGTCATGTTCCATCCCTAATCTCGACCTGTTCAAATCCCACTAATCCCTTAAAGACCAAATCAAGCCACCTGCCTCACTGTTTTTTTTTTTGATTCCCTGGATGAAATTAATACCTGCCTTTCCTGTTCCCAATCAAATCATTACTGGTGATTACCATTACTGGTGTAGTTCTGGCATTTTCAGATGACACGGCCTGTGGTGTCAGGAGATACGTTGCTTCCATTAACAGATACATCTGTTTCTCCCATTCAGATCTATGCCCTGAACAGAGTCATGACAGAACTGGAGCAGCAGCAGTTTGATGAGTTCTGTAAACAGATGCAGCCTACTGGAGAGTGATCCCCCTGCTGTGTTCAAGCTAGATGGGACCCTGAGGCTTTGTGAGCGTGTTACCAGTTCTAAGCTGAGACGGCCCATTTGGAGCCTTACAGAACTAGACAAGAAGAAATTTGTGGATAAGTCTGAACTTATGTTAGTAACTTCTACTTCACTGGTTCCTCCGATCTGAATTGGCCCCATGTTTGCTGAGGAGACTTGTTTTCTTCTTCTAAAACAGTAGATTCTTTTTTAAAAACCTTTTTCTATTGTTGAGAAAAATCAGTGTTTCTCATGAAACTGTGTTATCTTCTCCAAAAATGCAAATAAAATGCTAATAAAATGTTCACTTCCTCATACTTTAGCAAGTGCCTAGCCATAGAAAGTGGAGTACAAAAGAATGGTAGGTAATAGGACAGTTGAAGTGAGCAGCAGGTACATTCCCCTTCAAGAGCCAGGTGGGAAGGAGAGGAGAGAAAGAACATGACTGCTTCCAGTTTTCTTTCTTCCTGGGGCTAACGGTCTCCAGATCCTGCTGATCCTAAGTTTTTCGGCACACAAATATAAATATGTGACCCCTTTACTCCCAGATGAGCCTCTGGTCAAGGTCAGAGGCTTGAAGCTAGGATTCCTCTCACCTGTGATGGAGCGCTGGCAGCGGGCTCACACTAATGGAAGGGAGTGCATGTGCTTTTTGTTTTTCCTTTTGGGGGCTCAGGCCTAGAAACAGGTTTGTGATGGGAGTGTGCAGTCTGGTCCCTCAGAAACCAGTCACCCACCTATCCACCTACCATTTTTAGGTGTAGAAATGTAAACGTTTCTGCTTCAGACATTTGTGAATTTGACAAATGTCAAATTCACATTTGTGAATATTGGTTCACTGAGTTATGCAGATATTCCAAATGTCAACACATTGCATTATGTAACATCAAAAATATATATTTATTAATATCCCCACTGATCTCATCAGAAAAGTCTTTGAGTATAGGAAAGGTATCAAGCTCACAGTGGTAGATACAAGTTTTCCAAAATTCCAGTTTTCACTTGGAGGCTTGAATTTTATCCTTGACAACAAAAACTTTTTTTTTTTTTATTTCAGCATATTATGGGGGTACAAATGTTTAGGTTATGTATGTTGCCCTTCTCCCCCACCCTCAGTCAGGGCTTCAAGAGTGTCCATCCCCCAGATGGTGCGGGTCGCACTCATTATGTAATAAAAACGTTTTCTTGAAGCAACAGGCTCATTTAGTTCATATTTCTAGAAAGCTAAGTCTGAACAACCCTAGTTTGTCAATTGTCCTTTGGTGTTTCATAAGAAAAGAAGCTAGTTTGGCCAGGCAAGGTAGCTCACGCCTGTGATCCCGGCACTTTGGAAGGCCGAGGAGGGAGGATCTCTTGAGCCCAGTAGTTCCAAGGCTGTGGTGAGCTAAGATTGAGCCACTGCACTCCAGCCTGGGCTACAAAGTGAAACCCTGTCTCAAATATAATGATAATAATAAAGACAAAGAATAGAATCAGCTGGGTGGGGGGAGAGAAAAAGAATAGTAAAGAAGTTAGTCCAGCTCAAACTCAAACCAGTGCTTTTCCTTGAGACAACCATCATAACTTCAATATGCGACAGGAATACTTTATGTATGCTTTTCATTTTTTTGCACAGAATATTAAAAAGAATACTCAAAGGTAAAGATTTAATAAAATTAATTCTTACTGCTTCATCAAGGACATTCTTAAGTTTTGTTTTTTGTTTTTTTTTTAATTTTATTTTATATGCAAAGAGCTAGCATGGTCTCTTTCACTTAGTGGGTGCTGCCGAACCTGGTGGGTTCTGTGGAAAATCCATTCAGAGAAGATCACTTAGTCCAACTTAATGAAACCGATGTCCTTCGCTTACTGACGGAAACACTGGCGGCACATATTGAGGCCGTATTTCCGGATCAGACCGTGCCAGTTTGAGCAAACGCGGCAAGAGAGAGAACCCTGGCCGAATTTTCGTGGGTGGCTCCAATAGAGCTGCTGGTGACCCATCTTGCTCTCAGGAGGGCAACGAGGCAAAAGGCTTAAGTTTTGGTTTTTTCTGAGAGTGTGGCAGTAGAAAGTACAACGACTACCAGCACCATTTAGAGCCACTGCCTTGATTCACACCAAGGCGCCAGCAGTTTTACCCACCATTGTTTTGCTCTATTAGCAAAAATGTCAAAAGAATGATGACATTTTAGTCCCTGTTTTAGGATTATTAAGAAAACAGTTTTGACCTTGAAAGGGTCTCGGGAACCCCAGGAGTCTGCAGACCACACTAAGCCTGTGGTCACCTACTGCATTGGATTACTTAGGGAATTAAGTGAAATAATAAAAAGGAACAGTTCCTGGCACAATAATAAGTTATACAGTATAATATAGTAAATGTTGATTCTATGTTTACTCTAGTAAATATTAACTGTTATCATTGCTATTATTTTAAATTGAAAGATATATTCAAGAGGAAGATATATGAGAGGAAGGTTAGACGGGAGAGAAAGAGTGAGCTAGCATTTATTAAACATCTTTTACATGCCATTCACTATTCTAGATATTTTAGGTGTCATTGTATTTAATCTATAAAATAACCCTGACAGGAAGTAAATCTAACAATTTACAGATAAGGAAATGGGCTTTGAGAGATTAGGCATTTTACTCAAGGTCACAGAGCTAAAAAAGAGGTCACAGAGTGGAATGCTGTCACGTGGTTCTACTCACCAGACACAGGAGTAGTACTTGAGGTTAGGAAGAGGGAACTAGACGTTGACCAGGAGGAAAATCTACAGTCTATCCCAAGCCTAGGACTAGCAGAACTGCTTAGACCCCTCTGACTTCATGTGTTCATGTGAGAAGTGGCTTTTTAAAGTCTTGGCCTTCTTACTTGTTTCTAAGAGGAAGCTCAAGAAGAGTTGTCCTATTTCAGAAAATCACTGTCTGAGGCAGCAAAGACACGAGCAGCATTAGCATCTGAGACCCCCACGCCCAGGGAGAGGTGCAGCCACACTTCCAGAGAGTTGCCAGAAAGCATACGTCCCTCTGTTAAATCAAGAGGCTCTCAGCCGACCTGTAACTATCCTAGTATCACCAACCTACAACAAATTGGAGGCAATGAAGTATGAATTATTACTGTTACAGATAAGCCACAATTTACACATCTAAATGGGTATTTTACTTTTCAAAGCAGTCCTCTTGGGGGTCTACATATTTATCCTAACTCTGCTGCTGTCACTTAAAATGGACATGGAAATCCTCTTTCAGAATTGCATCTTTTTCCTTTGAACATAGTTTCAAAGTTTAGAAACAGCCACAAGTCATGTAAAAAGAAAAAGTCTCAGGGCCACCCCACCCCCCAACTTCTTATGCAAAAGAGAAGGTAAGAGCCTCAGGTACCTGTGAAGGACAGACCCCACAGATCATTCACTAAGGAAATTTCTTGCTGATCTCCCATAAGCAAGGACAGAAATGATACCTATGTCTAGCACCTGAAGCTAAAGCCTGTTTGATTCCACACTAATAATGGATTACAAGTTTATCTTACAGGTAACAGAACTAGAGACAAGACAGAATCAAACATTCTTCCACCTACCCAGGGACATCTACATAATTAATGCTTCCTTCACTGCCTTATTTTACGTAAAATGTACATTCTTGGGCCTCATAAGAATATAACCACTACTTCATCAGCCCTTGTGTCTGCCAATGTGTCTAATCTCTAAAGGAAGCAAAGGGCAGAATCCTTGCACTGTTAAGATACAGAATTTTTAAGTTATTTTACAAAATCCTACACACATTCAAATTGGGCAACGTGGTAGCCCTGTGATTAGCTCTGCTCTCAGCCAGAGTCTGGGAGTGTAAGAAACGCTTTAGGAAGCCCCTCCCACCACTGGGTAATTATGATCAGGCAGGACTAAGGGGGAGGCCAAGTCAATCCTGAAGGGTTCCTCTCCTTTCCAAGGCTCACCTGGCTAGTAACAGAGCTGGAACTCAACCCCAGCCCACATTTAGCTTGGGGGGAAAAATCTGTTCTACTTGACATAAATAAGTATTGTTCCCAAGGGAGTCAGAACCCTGAATAAAGAGGAAGAAGTGAAAGCCACTGGCCCCCCGTGTAGCTTATTCTGGTTCCAGGCAGCAGAGACACCATGAATCCAGCATATGTCGACACAGGTACAAGGAAAGCTTTAGTGAGCATAGGTACTGATGTGAACCCCACAGAGGCCGGTGGGAGTTGGTAGAGCTGTTTAGCTTCCTCGGTGCCGTTACCTCAGACAGGCTGTCTTGCCCCACAGAGCATCCGGGAAGAAGATGTAGGAGAGTGACCACATCAGGCAGTAAAAAGCAGTTAGAGAGAGTGGGGAGAAAAACAGCATGGTGACACCTGGAAGAAGAACAAATGCAGACACTCAGGTTTAGGAAGCTGGCTTGTAGGCCATCCACCCTCTACTCTTCCCACTCTTCATTTTTCATTCACAGCGCCGAAGAGACAGGCAAAAAAAAAAGAGACAGAAGCCCTGTCTCTAAGTTTATTTTAATAGATATGTGTAAACGATTAGACAAGTATAGCCGAATGCAATCTCAGCTTCCATTTTGTCGATTTCACATCAGAAATCAGTCCTAGCCAAGAATAAATTTGAGTTGCCCAGATCCCTTGTTAGGAAAAAAAAATCCTCTTAAATGTTTTAATCATAACGTGGTAATGGCCAATATAATATTATATGTATGCAGAAAAGAGTTCATACAGCAGGCCTGAGATTGCTATCCTTACGCCTGCTTGTGAGGCTGGCCTTGCTGTTGGCTGGAAACTTGAATAGAAACAGCTCCCTACACCAATGTGAAACTTCCCCCAACTGGTAAGAGTGGCTGGCTGTGCCTAGACTGACTGTACAAGCACAGTGGTAACACCTGCTTTCCTTCTGGGAATCTGGAAGTTTGGTATGTGTAAGGCAGAGGGTGCCTATGTGACCAGCCCCCAATAAAAACTTGTGCACTGAGTCTCTGATCAACTTCCCTGGTAGACACACTTCACATGTGTTACCACAATTCAGTGCTGGAGAAATTAAGTGCATCCTGTGTGACTCCACTGGAGAGGCCTCTTGCAAGCTCGCACCTGGTTCTCGGAACTTCGTCCCACGTGCCTTTGCTGATTTTGCTTTCTTTCCTTTTGCTGTCATCAGCCTTAGCCATGAGTACAATATGCTGAGTCCTGCGAGTCCTCCCAGCAAAGCACCAAACCTAGGGGTCTTGGGGACTCCCAGCACAATTGGAATCTCAGATTCACCACCAAAAGGCAAAAGGGCACGTAACATTAGCGGAATATCTACTTTGCACTAGACA